ACGCATAGTCGAGAGATCACCTCAAGAACAACCCCGATGAGAGGCGAGAAGATTGCCATAAGTAGCTTTCCTTTCGCATCTTGCTTGCCGTACTTCAGGTAAATGTAAGATGGTACGAAGATGCCTATTATGAAAGAGAAACGGCTCGGCGATATAATTTTTAGAACCAAATACCGCCTTTTTGTTAGAGTACGAAATGCATTTGTCGAGAGATAATTTTTCCAACATATACTGGGGAGGAACAAACCGTTCAACGGAAACTTTAGTAACACAGAAAGTTTAGAACGCGATATCCCAAGGAGTTGAAGAGCCACACGATAAGTTGCATCCAAAGAAAACAGAAGAAAAGCTACAAGGAACAGTTTCCCGTTTAACCCCATTACCTGATATGGTCGAAAAAGTAAGAGCACGCCTCCATAGAACCACAAGTGCAGGAAAACACAACCTGTGACATCAGACAATGTTCTGATCCATTGTGCTTTCTCAGGAATTGTCTCCGTGTCATGAAATTGGCAGTTGTATATAGTCTGATAGCAGACGTAGGTTATTATATATAGTACGCCGATAACAGTAGCAGTCAGCAGTGGAATCAAAGCACCAGTACACATTGCTCTCCACTTTGCGGAAAGAGTGGATGATCTGAGCTGCTTCCAAGCCATTGCTCGATCTTCATCTGATAAGCCGCTTAGCTTTTTCTCATTTTCCTCCGGTGCGCACGCGTCTATAAATCTCTCAGTTAAGATTTGATGAAGGAAGATAAGTGTGGTGTTTTTTGGCCAGCGACCACTTTGAGCATGTACAGTTATGTGCTATTCTAAAATGTGTCCGTTCGAATCATACATACATACATACATACATACATATACTTTATTTAAGCTCGAAATTCAGTGTAGCTGTAGAGCTAATATCTTCGAGAAAAAAGCTAAAATGAGATAAAAATATGCTATCTTACAATTTCAATATTATTTCTAAACTATATACAACTAAAAGCTAAGAGGGAAAACTAAGAGGGAAACATAACTTGTAGATCTACTGTGGAAAAGCTTCATATCTGAGGATCTCCTGCTTGAATTCTAGAAAATTTAATGTTCTGTAAGTGTCTGGGAGAGAGTTCCATATTTTGCTATGAGTGCAGACCGTATGTCGTTGTTATTGGGTTGGGAAGGGACATGATATGATTTTCGCCCAAATTTTAGGATGAAGACCGTACGGTAAACATATCCTTCAAATAACCTGGATAATTCGTAAGGAATAGATACTTATATAACGTGATCATGAAGTTCTGGAGGCGTCTAATGAATGGAGATTTTAAGTTGACTTTGCTTAGTAAAATGTCATATGGAGAACTGTAGTCCTGTAGTATAAACCTAAGAAT